GGTGTATAGATAATGGATGGATGGAAGTTATTAATTAAAAAAATAGCCAAAATTACACCATTTATCAGAGCGAGAAACTGTAAAAACAGAAAGCATAAAAAAATTTACAACCTTTTAACAGTCCATGAACTGGTCATTAGTGACATGCCATTTTGTCCAACTTAACCAAATCCAGGATTGTGATATTTAATCTAAATAACATTCGTCTATAACTCTCATTTGAAAATTCTGCAAGAATAAACTGTTTGCACTAACCATATTTTGTAAAAAAACTAAATATTCTGCACTTCTTAATGCAGCTGAAAAGCCATACATGCCTCACATGCGACCAACAGTCACGTGATAAAAGCTGAGGGACTTTTTGACTAAACTTTGCTGAACTTCAGGCTGTGTTCACACAAAGCAAAGACAAGACAAGTACTAAAAAACAATTCAAAATCTAAGTAGTAAAATGTAAATATTTTCACTGTTGGTAAACCTGGGGGGAACTTGTAAACTCTGTACACCTTGATTCCATTTTTTTTTTTTTTTTTTAATTTGAAAAAGAATTTCAACTTTAATTTCTGTGAAGATTCTCAGTCATCCAGGTCATGGTTGTTCTCGTAGTTTAAACTTTCATTTTGTTATGAGTTATGGCAAAATAACTGTGTCGTCCTGCACAAAAGTGATCCTCTACTTCTAGCCTGTGTTGTGCTGTTTCTGTAGAAGTGCAGAACTTCATATTGGAGAAAAATAAATGAGCCTGTAGTGAGTAAAAATGTGACAGAAGCCAATGACAGACACTCTGACAGTCCGGTTAAGACTCTTGCTCCGGTAGTAAGATGTCTTGTCTGTTTTACTTCTAATAAATATATTTCTATTTAAAGCCTAAAATGCATTTACAGGAACTGGTTGCATTCATTCTGCCGCTACTTCATCTTTCTGCCTATCCATATTTCAGAGAAAACTGCGGCTGCAAGTCATTGTGAAATAAACATGTTCTGTCATGTTCGCACATCTGAGAAATGGTTTCCATGAAACACTGGATGATAATAATCTAACCAACAACAGCTCCCATCCTGATGTGTCATCTGGTTGACGCTGCCCTGATAGACTCTATTAAAGACCAAGTGACTGAACAGTATTCTGCCTTCGCTTCATTTGCATTATCAGCTGAGGTAACTCCACATCAGTTATGTATGTCTCATGGAAACTACACGGAAAGAACAGGTAGTGATGATGCTTCCTCTTGGTTTGCTCTACATCTCATTAAACTTCACTTGCTCTGTCCAAATTAGCAGATTTTTACTTGTTAAGCTCTTCATACATAGACTTAATACATAGTCTTTAATTGTTAAAAATCAATCACAATCACATTATTCTTAGAGTAAAGCTAAATAGTAATGTGGCCTATTTTGGTGATTTAGTTGCATCCTTCTGTTTGGTGTATTGCTGCACAGAATACTGCATAAAATACTACTAAACCTCAAACAGCGTCGTGTCCCGTCCACTACCTAAATGAACAGACAGCCCATTTGCGCTCATGGCCTGCTGCCTCTTTTCGCCTCGGCCTGGACACCTCCCTTTGGCTTGCATTAGTTACAGCCTTGGCTCGGGTTTCATTGTGGTTTTAACACTGTGCGGTGTTGAGTTCACAACCTGCCTCACATCGAGCCTCGGCTACCGTTGTTAAGCCAAGCAGCGCTGGTTAACCTTCACTCAGACACACACACTGAGATGCTCTTTTTCTTTACCGCTGGTCATCTGCCCCTCCGTCTACCTCCACATCCAGCACAACCTGAGCCGTGTCTCTCCCCAGAGACGGTGGCACTGAGCTGGGCTAGAGTCTTGTTCCTCTCTTCCCCCCCCTCCCACCTCACTTGGCTCCATTAGCCCACTTAACAGAGGCCCCATTGACCGAGGCGAACTGCAGCCCTCTTCTCTCGTTTCCCGTCTCCTTCAGCGTGTCCATCCCCACCTGTGGTTAGTCTGTCTGCAGATAATGATACACGAGGGCTGGTGAAATCCTTGTTTTGTGCGTTTGCTCATTTTATTCATAACCAAGGTAGTCATCAAATGAACGGATAATTGAGTAGAATCCGTAAGTGGCTCTGAGGCTTGAAATAATTCCTGCGGTTGTGTTTTTTTTCCTGTTCTCATGCTTGTATTTGTGATTACATTTTGATTTTGTTTGTGCACGTGTATGGTGGAGCTGTTAATGCAAACACATGCTGCATCAAATGTACAAACTAGAGCCTGGCTTTCTTCTGTGTCACATAATACAGAGAAGGATGCTGCTTGGGGTATTTTTGAAACGGTGCCATCACGTAGTTTGTAGGGCAGGGTGATATGGACAGAAATATTTATCACGATATAAATGAGGAAATTTGCAATTTAACTAACAATATAATTAAGCTAGACAAAGTACTTAAAAACTGCACAACTTTATTGGTGCAAATAAAAAAAGAACATTTTTTTTATCCATTTAGCAAGCAGCTGTTTTTGATGTGCATTAAAGCTATATCGTACCAAAATCAATAGTGCATAAGTTGTAAATTTCTTGCTGATAGTCGCGGCGGGTGTCGGCCAAATATCATTCCATCCATTATCTATACCCCGCTTAATCCTCACGAGGGTCGCGGGGGGCTGGAGCCTATCCCAGCTGACTTAGGGCGAAGACAGGGGACACCCTGGACAGGTCTCGGCCAAATATTCATATCTCAAAATTGCTATCCGGACTCCACCACAACAATCAAATATTCCGATATCCGGATCCAGCCCTACTGTGTCGGTCGATGCACTGCGTTCACCCTCCTCCTCGGTTGCCGCCATGCTTCTAGCTCCACGTGCATTAGACCGGACGATATTTCAATTTCACATCATCCCCTAACATTACACCGGTATTAGTTTGTACAGCAGAGCAGCTCTGACTCCATTGTTCACACTCCTCTCAGCACTGTCTGCAGCGCATGTAGCAGAGAAGGCGTCACAATTGCGCAGACGGTGGTGCGGAGTAAAATTTTGTCTTAATGGTAAGTTGCGAACCAGTTTGTTAATTAGTTTGTTCCTAACTAACATTTCTTGATGGTTGATAAACAGTGAGCCCACCATTTTCACTTTCACGATATGATACGAAGAGCCTTTCTTCATACCACAGTGGGGACATTTGCATTGATACAGTAGCAAAGGGGAGAGTGCAAACATTTAGGAATCATCAGTAGAAAAATAATAATACATAGTCATGCACGATATTAAAATTTCTGGCCGATACCGATATCCAATATTAAGATTTCTGATATCACCGATAACCGATATTACCGATGTTGATATTTAGTTTTTGTTCACACCGAACAATGAGTATAAGTAAGTACTGTGAGAAAACTATTCAAAAGAAGCCGAAATTAGACCACATACTCTTCTTTATTACGTAACAAAAGTAAAACATATTTAAACATATTTTAACATATTTAACATTCAGGACCATTTAAGTAAAAACATCTGAGATAGCTGCAATATCAAATGTAGAGACGAAGGCGCTAACATTAGACAGTTATTGATTTTTCACATCGGCTAAATTTGTTCATACCGATATATTGGGAAAAAATACTAATATCGGCCGATACCGATGTGGTTGCTGATATATTGTGCATCCCAAATAATAAACCAGAAAAACTGTCTAAATTTCTCTGGATGTGGAAATAACAACATGAATAGTATTGCATGGATTCTTTCTTGAGCATAAATACTGATAGAGAAGTATTAACATGTACAGTTACACCCGGTCATCCAGCTTTTGTGTATTTTGTTTCCTAATCAGAATTTTAAAATGATCGGAATGAGTGAGCGGACTTTTAAAGAGAGCAAACGAAAGCCAATTTCAAAATGTCACAGATCTAACGAGTAGAGAAAGAAAGAAAAAACATGTGATAATATATTACAGCATGATCTCATGACACACACACACCCCACTGAAATGACACAAGCATCATACAAAAAAAGTCAAAACACTGACTTCAAGCTAGAATTCATTATCAAGTGTCCTGTTTGCGGGGAGCAAATTACATAACCGGCGTGCTTTTGTGCAACAGTCAGGGATGACCTCACCAGGACATGTACTTGACTTTATTGAATTCATGTGCGATATAAGGATTGCCTCACCCCGGTCGTACAGTTTGGGCTCAAGTTAAAGTTCATCCCCAACGCTTGTTTTTTACTCCGGAGGAGGCAGAGAAACAGGAGAAGGATACAAGGGTGTTGTGGAATGTCCTTCAGCCTTCTTAAGTACAGATCTCTTTCTTTCTTTTTCTTTCTCTCCTGCTTTTCTGTCTCCTTTCTGTTGCGGGTTTCTCACGCTCTCACCAGCCCCCTTTTCGTTTGGTGTGATTTTACAAACGCTCGCCCTCTCTGTGAGGCATTTGTTGGTTTGTATAGCGAGGATTTTCAATAGTGCCTTGTGGAAAACTCAAAAGTTTCGCGTTTCACTCTTAAGCCGAGCTTTCTTTTTTCCCTAGTCAGCATTTTGTGTGACTTTTTCTCATGCGTTATCATGTTGAGGAATGTCAGGATCATCTGTTAATCTCTCCTGCGTCCTGTCTCTCCTCAGGTTATGAGTAATGGAAGCGGGGTCGGTGGTGCGTGCCGTGTTCGAGTTTCTCCCCAGCGTCTCCGAGGAGCTGCCACTCTTCACCGGTGACGTCATCGAGGTGCTCAGTGTCGTGGATGAGTTCTGGTTGCTCGGTAACAAAGATGGCGTCACAGGTAAGTTAACAGCGTTCAGTGCTACCAAAACGACCTGGAATATTTTTAATAAGAAGCTGCACTGAGCTTACCAAAAAGAAGTCCAGTCTGATGACAAAGCGTGGAGAATCCTACGACTGTGATCGATTATAAAAATAAGCCACATGGGAAACTGTTTTTAGCATTGAGGCGTGCATGTCCCGGTGATTCAGCAATTTGTTCCTAAAATGGCAAATGAGGCCGTCCAGCTGGGGTTTATAATAATTGGTTGTCATGCATTTCTTCTCTTCCTCCCGGATTTTGTAGTGTAATACTTTCCTGACTGTCTGCTTGCAGCATTAGCAGTACAGTTTGGCCTTGAGCAAGTCAAATAGTCCAGGAGAATAAAACAAGGAATTGGGGATCATCAAATTTTCAGGACAAGATTTTTCTGACCCAAATAATATGTGATCAAGATACAACCACGGTATCTATGAAAAATGTTTAAAGTTAAATAAATAACACTATCAGACAAATTCTCTTTTAACTTTGTGTATGGTGTGTTTTGTGTCTTTTTGGTAAATAAATTTGGACTTTAGGGATTATAGATAGAGAGTCTTTAGCCATCTCTGTACTGTGTGTTGTTCCTCTGTTGCAGTGTCAACTAGACAGATATTGGGACTGGATTAATACTTGATATTATATGTTCATAGTTAACATATTTCTCTGGGATTTCTAATTCCAACAGTCCTTAAACTGAGCATCAGCAACGTGCTATTCCATCAGTTAAATGAACCAAATCTGAGCTTAAAGTTGTGATATTTCATCATTATTTGACATGTCTTACATAAAAACTCTCTAAAAACCTTTTCACTAGCTACCTGCGTTCCTCGGTGCAACCTAGAAGCCATTATTGTAGATCAATCATAGCAACTGGACTTGCTTGAGTTCCTTGAAGACGTTCCACCTCTCATCCAAGAGGCTTCATCAGCTCTGACTGACTAGTTGGGAGTTCCGCATATCCTTAAGGAGTTATTAACACCTGAGTTTCTGAGAATCTTCACAGACATGTTGCTACACACTTCGGGAAGAACGCCGTTCGACTGGTACGGGAGTACGAAAGAACTTCCAGAAAGCTTGCAGACTACAGGAATCATATAGGTTTCAACCAGAGATGCCGACACGAAACTCAGGTGTTAATGACTCCTTGAGGATATCTGGAACTCCCAACTCGTCAGTCAGAAGTGATGAAGCCTCTTGGATGAGAGGTGGAACGTCTTCAAGCGAGTCCAGTTGCTACGATTAATCTACCAGAGTAACCACGACCTGAATGACTGAGAATCTTCACAGACCTAGAAGCCATTGTTGACTCAGCTACAACGAAGAGTTGTGACAAAAATTCATGGACGTTTTGGTCAAACTGGGCTGAACTGCAGGCTGTGTTTAAACAGATCAGACAAGAGACAAGTATAAAAAAACAAATTAAATTGTAATTAGAAAAATATCTATAGTATGTAGAGTCACCAATCATTTGTCCAGTATTGGTAACACCCGCAGGTACTTAAAAATGTTGGCCATGTTGTTGTTTTTCTTTTTTTCCCCCCCCATTTTTTTTTTTTTAAATAAGCAATCGAAGAAACGCTGCTTTAGTTTTAGTTTTAGTTTTTTTCTTTATGACTTCTAGCCATAGCTGTGCTGTTTCCAAGGAGGTGCAGGACTTTATATTTCAGTAGAAAAGTGAGACCACAGAGTTCACAGAGTGAGTTCAAATATAACAGGAGCAAGAAAAGGAGAAGAACAAACTGCTTGAGGTCAAACAGCGACTTGATGTTCAGTCGTCGCTGTTCAGAGGAAGCGGTGACGGATCACAATGCGTTCTGTGCCGCTCAAGTGTTCATCAGTGTTTCCTGGCGTTCTTTGCCCTTGAGGGCTCAAACGCGCAGAAATCCACTTAAGTTTTCCAAGAGTCGAACATCCCTTAAGACACGGGGGATTCCCTCAGAGGGGAAGTCGATCCCGGCTCGTTCAGCTGCTCCTGGAAAACACTGATAATGTCAGTACAGCATGAGTTTACAGGAAACTGACTTTATTAATGGGTAAAATGTTGACATACATCTTCGAAAGAAGAGTTTAAAGAAATACACATAATATTTATAGCATCCAGATACAGTTTATTTAATTAGCCTTCTGTTCAGTGGTGCTGACTGTTCTTCATCTGTTGGCTTTCTCTAAATATATGAATCTGTTCGTCACCTCTATAAATCACCATCATAAACGAACATGTGTAACTTTGACAGTTTATTCTGATGTGAGCTTAAGACTGAAGCGCTGTGCAGTGAAACACAACCACTGGTCTTGGTTCTGGTACAGGCACATAGACGTTTGGAGATAGCTACCAGCTGGGTTTATATAAAACTCTGTCTAGCCTTTTGAGATGACTTTCTTCATTACCAGGGTAACTCCATCCATCCAGAAATCATGGACGTGAATGTAAATCTGCATATTTAGGAGGTCGCCAAACACTGGACTGACAACACATTACCTTTTTCTCTCCAGATAATGAGTTCAGCACCTACACAGGATATTTATTTATACTAATGGCAATTTTAGAGAAAACTCAAAAATTTATTTTATTCAATATGAGACAGTTATAATACCATTAATCCTAAGATACAGAAAAAATGAACAGTGGATTTCTTTGATTACTTTTTATTAAGAAAGAATTTGTTCAACATTTTTAAAGTGCCTACACTTGTTAACAATAATGGGGGAAAAAAACGGTGACTCTACATACTATAAATATTTCACTACTTACATTTTGAATTTCTTTCCATACTCCTCTCCTGTCTGATCTGGTTAAGCACAGCCTGCAGTTCAGCCGAAAAGTCCCTGAATTGTTGTCATGCGACTGTTGGTCTCAGCTGAGTCACTCGTGGCTTCTCAGTTCCGATGAGGAGTGCAGAATTTTTTGTTTTTTACAGAATCTGGTTAATGCAAGCTGTTTATTTTTGCTATTTTTTTTTTTTAGATAAGACACAGAATAAAGTGATTTAAATAATAATGAGTAGATTTAAGGGTGTTTTCTGATGGAGAGGCAAAGAAAGTTGTAAAAAATGTGATTCTTCGTTTTGTTTTTACAGTTTCTGGCTCAGTTTCATTTTGTCGATTGTTTTGAAGATAACATGCCTTTAAATCTACGTGTGGGTTTTGGGGTTTTGAGGGTTAATAATGTATAAGTCTGTAAGTCTGAATATAGGAAGAAGAATTTAGGAAGTTACAACATTCAGTGTTGTCATTGTCTTGAGAAAACAGAAGTATCAGGTTTGCGTGGAAGATTTTTTTTTCTATTTTTTATTGAATTAACCGGTGCCATTCTGCCACACTTATCTGCTGTCCTCAGGTCAGTTCCCCAGCACCTTTGTGGAGGAGATTACTATTCCCAGCACCAAGCCTGGAGACAGACTCTACGTGTGCATCAATGATTTCAGCTCAGCAGAGCCGGGGAATCTGTCCCTGAAGAGAGATATGGACTGACTGTCTGCACTCGCACACAAAGCTGGTTTTAACAATAACCACTAAAGTACTGCTTTTGCTCTTCCTCCACTCTGATATCTGTTGTTTTTAATTTGAGGTTTTTGCGCAGCATCCTTGATCTAACCAGCCTTAACACGCTTGTTCCAAACAACACTAAAAGCTTGTGTTTTCTCACTTAGCTTAACGCTGCTTGTTGATGTCGCAGCACTCAGGTAAACTGGTTGTTTTGTGTTGTTTTGTTTTGTGTTGTGAGCCGACAGTCGGACCAGACTGATGCCTTGTCTCCACTGATGCAAAGTGAATGTTATCAGTGAATGTTTTTTGTTCAGTTATAGTAACAGTACTATACTGAATGAATGGTACTGAGAGGAAAACTAAAATTTGCATTCAGTCTCATGAATATGATTTTTTTATCCATAGTGTGTTTGCTTTTGCCATAAACTAATTGATGAACTGAAACTGATGCTGAACATTTTATCGTCTAACAAAGCAACCCTCTATCGCATTGGTCATAATGAATGGAGACAAGGCATTGTTTTCTTTTATGGCATCTTCTTTATAGTAAATAGCAATTAAAAATAGACTCTTATTTTGTGAGACTAGACACAGAAAAGCCAAGAATCAAACCTGTGACATTTCCCTGCTGGAGGCGCTTCTCTAGAAAATTTATTAGATGGAAGGTAAAGGTCATGTTGTGCACCACGGAGGAATTTCTGCAACTTCTAGAATTTCTAAGACAAGTTAGAACCGATGCTGTGAGGACTGAAGGTCAAAGCAACCTGACGTATTGTAGCTTCACAAAAGAATCTTACAGTTACGGGTTTTCTATTATTTGCTTTCTTGTTTGAGGAGGAGCTCATATTTATAGGAACTGCTTTATTTATAGATGGTATTTTTTTAACAGGAACATATTCTGCAACTCCCAAAGGGGAATTTGGGGTTTGGTTCAGATAAATTTCACTAGAAATTGGCATTTATTTTTAATCGTAGCGCTCAAATGTCGATTCAACATTCTGAGTTAAATGGGGGAAAAATTTTGTATTTGAGATTAAGTCAGTTTATATAATCATAAACAATCATGTTTCATGTTATTCATGAAAACATATCATGCTCAAATACAAGATATCTTAAATATTTTGCCGCTATCAGTCTTGCTGCTCTGGGATATTGTTTTGGTGTTGACATTAGTCACCTGTGGGATCATAGAAATCCTCCCCAAATTCACTGATTGTATTCTTTGATTGCCGATTATTGTTTAAAACATTGAATAAGATGAAACCTCGACAGATTCCTCCAGCGTTAGAGCACCAAACGCAGTGTCAACACATAGTTAAATTCCAAAAGTCCCCACTAGATGTCCCCAGAGACCAAACATAAACATACATCGACTGTCGCTGGCTGACTTTTTGTTTTCTTTCCGGATTTTCTCACACAATCACATTAGTTGTTGTGTTGTTTTTTTGTGATTTGTCATTTACAATAATTCTCCTTCATGCAGCACGGATGTTTGCAGAGATCTTTTATATCGGTAAAACTCCATATTTGTATTTTAATGTTGGTAGAAGTGCCTGCAGCTGTAGTCATAGCAGTAGTTAAAGTAGTCAGAACTGAATTGTGCTTTAAAAGTAGATTTCAACAACAGAAACATTTTAAAAGGAACGTGACTCAACGCTGCTGGAAGATTACGTAGCAGCCAAAGCTCCAACTATGACAAATAATTCCTCAGCAGCCCATCCCTTTATCATTTAAGGTGTTTTATTTTAAGTTGACTCGTGACCAAAATCAACAGTAATAGCCATAATTCCAGCATATTTCGGCGTTGTCACAGACGCGTATCACTTCCCAGATCAGTGGATAAATAGGAAACAGTCATTATTAACCATCTGAGAGTTGAAATGCTCATTTCCAGTATGATTTTCCACGGTGCTATTGGCCGGGTTCCAGTTTTTGCTCCCGGACACAATGGGAGGTGGAGCCGCAGGTCTTTGGAATGTGACCCCCATGACTTGTGGCTGACCAGTCAACATTCCTATAATCCCTGATTCTCCAGATAACGTTAGTGACGGCGAGGGCCCGTGTAAAGTTATTAGAAATGCAATAAGAAAGGTAAATCTGAAATAAATTGCTTAGATGTCATCGTAATGTGACTAAAGCTGCTTGGTTTCAGAGAAAAATGTGGGAAAAAAAACTCAGTTCAGTTCAGTTTTATTCAAGTGTGCACCCCAAGAAGTGCAATATGTGATCTAAAACATAAAGCCAGGCTGTTGAGCAGGCACATCCGTTGGAGTCTTTGCTCTTTTCTCTGTTATTTCCCTAATTTATTCAAACAATAAACATATATTATAGTTACATTTACCTACTGAAGCTTCCCCTCTATGTTTGCGTCCATGTATCTGACTCCCCTCCGATACACTTTAGAACTTTCTGGTGTCCATCTGGTGTCATATCAGTTGTATAACTATTAAATGAAACTCCCTTTGTTCTCTGTCTCTGTAGGTGATGTGGTAGTGGGAGAGGCCGGTGGGTCCATGGACCTCGGGGAAACCTGGCAGCGTGGCTGTAACGCCTGGGGCGTCCGTGGTCTCTTCCCCACATCATGCGTGAAAGAGATGAACCTCTCCGGCCGCTCCAGGCAGCTGTCCGAACGCTCGGCTCAGGCCCAGGCTTCGGAGCTGCCGCCGTACGCCCTGGGCCAAGCTCGAGCCCTCATGAGCCTCCACGCGCAGCTCAACGAGGAGCTGGACTTCCGCGAGGGCGACCTGATCATCATCACAGGCCTGCCGGAGCCAGGCTGGTTCCAGGGCGAGCTGGGGGGACGCAGGGGCATCTTCCCAGAGGGGTTCGTGGAGCTCCTGGGTCCCCTTCGGTCTCCTCAGGAGCCGGAGGACTGCCAGGATTTGGACAATGACCCTCAACAATTTATGTACGAGGACGACGCAGGAGAGGGGACTGAGGAGGAAGGTATGGAAGAAGGGGAGGTTTTTATGAGAGATGACGAGGAACAAAAGGATGCTGCAGTAGAAGAAGAACAAGAGGAGGAGGAGGAGGAAGAGGAGGGTGGTGTCTATGGAGTGGCGCTGTATGAGTTTCGGGCTATGGAGCCAGGAGAGTTGGACTTTGACGTTGGAGATCGCATTCGCGTTGTAAGCACTTTGGAAGATGGCTGGCTGGAGGGGCAGCTGCGAGGGCGTCGGGGTATATTCCCTCATCGCTTTGTGAAATTAGAGGACGATGGACGGAAAACTGCAGAGGAGACAAATGTGGTTGACCCAGAAGAGGAACAAGAGAAGGAGAACAGCTGTAGTGAATACAGCTCAGGTCATTTATGTCCCAATGGGTCCGAGAACGATCCTGAATGGACGCCGTATGAGGACCACACAGTGTGGGACCTGGACTACTTCGAGAGGACCGAGGAGCAGAGGTGGCAACGGGAAAGCAAAAGTGCTGGGGCTCAGACTAATAACAGGGGGCAGAGAGATGGAGGTAACAGGCCCGACTCTCGGCCACGTAGACCTCTGGCTCCGGCACACAGGGGACCAGAGAGACCCAAATCCACTCCTCCAGCAAGACCCAGACTCCCACCTCGGCCCAGCCTGCCTGCACGTAGCCATCGGCAGCATGCTGCACATTCTGGCAGAAATCAGTCGAGCTACACCAACGGTAACTCTCGACCTGCACCCCCCAAACTAACCCATAGCCTAACGCTGCCAAGCACTCATTCTGGTTGGTCCAAAGACAGCAGGTATTACCAGAGGTCACCGACAGACGGTTCCTCCACCAATAGCAGAGGCGCAAGTCTTGGCCAGGCATTATTTAACCTTGTTGAGGGCCACAAGCAGAAGAAGCTAACTCGCCATGCTAGTGTCGGTGATGCTGATATGATGCTGCACAGCGCCGACGCCCGGCCGCGCTCCCAGCAGACGGCACGAGGCTCCAATGGGATTCTGCCAACATCCATCACCTTAGAAGCCTTGGCAACCTCAGCCGGCGACCTGGAGGCCAAACTCTCCCAGCAGCTTTTTGAATTTGAGAAAAGCCTGACTCCTGCGTACAGCGATACTAACGTGGGTTCTGGCGTTTCCAGAGACGTGTCACCTGTGCCTGACCTGAACCAGCAATCACGCATCTCACGGCACTTTTCCATCCTGGACTACAGCGATGAAAGCGATATCATCCGAGGCTCCTCACATTCTCCCATTCCCAGCCTCATGCAGTCCAACTCTTCCTCTTTGGAAAGACGAAGAACCCTCCGCCCTCCTCCTCCTCGTCCCAGAGTCCTCCGTCCTCCAGCTCCAGCTCCGTACAAACCGGCTCGCCCCGCTCCTCGTCCCCCTCCTCGCTGCCCGAGACAAAACACCACTCCTCCGCCCGGCAGCTCCCTCGCCAACAGCCCAATCTTCTACTCTCCCGACGAGCCAGCTGCAAACCTCCTCGACCAAATACCAGGAGGTCAGGCGGAGTTCGGCGACCTCGCAGCTGCCCAGGAACACGAGATCCAGTGCCAGCTGGAAGCAGAGCAGGAGCTGGAGAGGGAGATGGAGCTAGAGAGTCAGAGGCAGAGGGAGGAGGAGGAGAGGTACCAGCTGCTGCTGCGGCTGCAGGAGGTGGAACACGACATGGAGGCGTACGCGCACACGGCCGAGGAGCTGAGGGCGATGCTGGAGGAGGAGGAGGAGGAGACGGCCCGCATGCAAGCCCTGGAGAACCTGGAGTTCTGCAACTACACACTGGAGACGCTGGCCCTGGAGCAGCAGCAGCTACAAGGTAAGACTGTTGGGGAAAGAGGGTGGAGGCACAGAAGTATTTATGGACGTGAACCTTTAGACCAAAGGGTGATGTGGAATCTTTAGCGAGACCCCAAAATCCTCAGCAGAGATGGATTTTTTTAAGTGCCCTCAGTTCTGTGGTGCTCGGCAAAGGTCACTGTGCCTTCGACACCGTGATGGAGACTAAAACTAACCTTTATGTAGAGCAGCTGATTTGAGGTCAAACTAACCTGTTGCAGCTTTTATTTGATCAATTAATCGATTAGGCAAATCGCTACGAAATAATATGCAACTTTTTTAACCATTGATTTAACATTTCAGTAATTTTTTAATTAAATAAATGTCAAACTTTCACTGTGACAGATTAATTGCTATTTTGTTTGTTTTTATCATTGTAAATTGTGTATATTTAGGCTTAGATGCATATTTGGAGACAGTAATTTGGACATTTTTTACAATTTTATTTATTTTAGTGTACAGGACTAATCAGATAATGAAGAAAATTATTCACAGATTAATTGATAATAAGTTAGCTGCAGCCTGACAGCAGACTCATTTATTTATATGATCTATTTGCACTTAAAATGCTTAACCGATAATCAACGTATTGATCAGAAGTTACCAGTAAATATAAGAATAAGATGCAGCAGTAAAGGGGAAAATGAACATCCATCAATCAAAAAAATTTTTAAAAAACAACATAATATGCAGAAGTGCTGTTGATATTAGACTGTTCCTGCCGTATGTAGAAATTTAATTATGGCACAGATTCAACTGAATGTTAAAAAATAATGATATTGCACAGGATTATTTCACTTTATTCAAATTACACTTTAATTTGACATGAATCCTACAAATGGACGTCTCGGTCAGTGTTGCCAACTTGGCGACTGTCTCTTTAAATCTAGCGACTTTCCAAACCCTCTTGGCGACTTTTTTTTCCAACAACGACTGACGATCAATCTTTTGGAGACTGACGGAAAAGCACGTATCGTTGTGCCGTTCCTCTCCTGAGCAGCGGGTGCTGCTGTGAGCGTCACAAAGCTCTCTCAGGTGGTCAGGAGTCCTGCACAGCTGTGGTCGGATCAGAGGAGACCCTCAAATGAATCGCGCATGCGCCAAACCGCCGCTGATCCCAGCTTGGCTTCCAGAGATCTGTATGTAATTCTTCACCGTCACAGTCAAATAAATCATCACTCAGCCTCAGCCACTTACTCACCTTGTCCACTGTGTGTGCCTCTCTGTGACAAACATCTAGCTCGCTCCTCATGTCAGAAAAAACAAAAAAGAAATCCAACAACTAAAAAACAAAAACCCTAAGTAACTCTGCCAGATTGTTTTTGGGTCACTGTGGGTCCCAAGCCCGGATAAAGGAGGAGGAAGGTTGGACGTAAAGCTGCCAGCTTCACCCCACATTACAGTCGTTTGATTACATTTGATATTCTAACATTTAACAATCCAGGACAAAACTGATTTATTTAACGTGGGTCTAGACTCAGCATTAGTCATGAAGTTATTGTGAGAAGTGACGACCTGTTTCAGTGGCAAAATGTTAGAAAACAAACCAAGAATCAACAGATGACAGTTCATTTGTAGTTCCAAACATATTTAGGGTGTTTCTTACTCACTTTATGTCTGCCCCATGACATTATTCCTCTCTCCTACAGCGTCCATTATAATTACATGCAAATAATAATTATGCAAATTAGGTGATGATCATTTAGCGACTCTTAGGACAGCCAGTAGCTACTTTCCTTACTGAGAAGTTGGCAACACTGGTCTCAGTGTGTAATCGGACCAAACTTGCTCAGTAAGAAACTAAGTAAAGCAAGTAGCAATGAAGATGTCAGACCTCGTTTGTGTCCTTTAATGAAGATGTTTTCCTTTGGTTCTCAGTTTACACGATGGTTAACCAGCAGAACCGATTACATGCCCAGACAATAGAAAGAATGCAAAGGAGAAAATAAATAGAGGAGAATTTGTTTTAGTTGATGTCATAGTAGCTCTCTGCCTGCAGGACAGTTCATGGAACAACACACTTCCACAGGAGACAAAATGTAATATAGAAGGAATCTAAAAATGAGACGCTGGTACTTACCAGATTTCCTCTCTGACCTGCTCTTCAGAAACCTCTTATTTAAACTATTCAAACAAGACATCCCTATTTACTCTTCACAGTTGTCAGTGGAAGGAGGACTGTATATTTAAACTGAGTGTTGTCATAACAGTGTGTGTGTGTGTGTGTGTGTGTGTGTGTGTGTGTGTGTACACAGCGGAATTTGCTTTTTCTCAGTTCGGTGTTAATTATAGAAGTGCAGCAAATGTGGCAGAATCAGCATGTTGTTGTGGAGGGAGGATGGAAGGAAGGAAACTGAATCTGTCCAGCTTTAAAGTCACCTAAATTATTAAGTTTAGAGGTATTTTCCCAAACTCCCTGGTTGTTTGAGAGAAGTCAGAAAGGGCTATTGTGCAACATAACAAACTTCAACTGCAATTAATCATAAAAAAAACCCCAACGAAATAAGAAATGTTGAAGTTCTATGACTATTCACTTTACAAACACTGAAAACACAGCATGAACAAAACTTTTTTAGGCAGCTGTTGGTGTTACGAACTGGAAAATACTGGGAATGCATGCAATAGATATTTTACTATTTATATTTTTAATTTGTTTTTCTGGTCCATGTAAACACAGACTGCAGTTCAGTTGAAAGGTCCCTACATTTTTGCAAAGTGGCTGTAAGTCAAAGGTCATTTTCGGTGCCACAGTTGTACCAAGGAGTGCAGATTTTTTTTGTGGTTACTGCATTTTACTTCATTTTAAAACAGCAAAACAACCAACACATGCTTGTTTTAAAGATATATATTTTTGAATTCAGAGAGAATCATCATAGTTTCAGAGTTATACATGAGAACTGAAAGGTTTAAAGATTTATTAACATATGTTCATCTGCCTCTTTACACATTAGTAAAACATTTGCATGATCTTATAGATACAAGCTTGATGAGTATTTCTAACAGTAGTTAGTGAATCACTGTCATCCAAACCTAATTAGCTCTGATCTGTTTTTACTCCGTCGTGCTGTCTGGGTGCACATTGAAGTCTTTGGCAGCCCAGAACTTTTTCACATAGGTATGAGGTGCATTCCTGCGCATGGTGAGAGGGGAAGCGCTGCACATGGGCCTCCGTCTCTTTTTCCACACCGCGTCTTAGTGGCTAGTCACTGTCCAAATGTCCTCCCTCGCTCTCGCCTGTCTCAGAGTTTCCCTTTCATCCTTTTCCTCCATCATCCGTTCTTTTCCAAGAGAAATAAGGAGACTGGAAGCGCTGGGTGTGGTTTGTAGGATTTTTGCATTAGCGGAGAGTGGGGACGGAGCATGGCCCACTCAGGAGTGGGACCCAGAGTGCGGTTGTGGCGAGCCGTGTCATGGCCCGTGGCACGGCTGTCCACGCTGTTTGGACTCAGTCGGAAGGCCTCGGCCAACAGAATGGCAGGTAGGTTGAAACGCTGCGGTGACTCAGGACATCTGGTTAGTTGCTATTTGACCGTCAGTGTTGTGGTGACTGAACAGTCTCTCTGGCTCATGGTCACGGCTGGGATTGCTTGTTGCAGTGGCAATTCTCTGATTACTTGATCATTGATTCGGTGAAGCAGCTGAGGCTTCAGTGCCTTGCTCTGTGACTCTGGCATGACTGGGTTGGATGATCTGACAATATTTAATTATCAGAGATCTTTTTCCATGATGGTAGCTGTCACTTTAATTTTCTTTCAGTGGGTGAAGTTAATGAGATCAGTGCTGCTTTATGGCAATATTGGATTCATCTGATTCATTAATATTACTTTTAAATTAACTAGCGAGGCCAAACCAGACACTCATCTCTAGGTATTATATCCATAGAAAGTGTTTTCTTTCTGTTTTAGCATCATTGCCTGCTGATTTCCTATCTTTGTATTTTGCATGACATTTAACTTTCTGACTGCAGAGTTCACTGTTTCTCTCTGATAAACACACACACACACACACACACACACACGCATCCAAATAGTCCTGCTCATTCAGAAGCTTCTAATCTAATCACTGCCAATAATCATGCTTCTTGTAAAGCTAGTGTTTCCAGCATATTTAAATGTAAAGGTTCCATATTGTGGCCCTTTTTGGCACATTAATAAAAGTCTCACATGTCCTCAGAATGTTTCCCTGCATGCAAATATCCCATCAGAACAACTCTACTCGACTATTTTGAAGCTGCATCCTTTGCTTAGCTCCACCCAAGATGATTGTGATTGGTTTAGAGAAATACAAGCAGAGCGTTTGTTCCCCCTCTAGCAGACCAATAATTAAGTCCAGCCAGACCACTCTATCCCAGCTAAGCAAGACTACCATTAAACTAATAATCAGTAAACACTTAGGTTTATTCTTCTATTTTTGTTGCATTTAAATGACTCACATTTTATCCGTCTGTTTCCGGTGCTTGTTAATGTTGGAGGAGTCTCTTATCTTTACAACCGAGAGAATCAGCCCGAGGGCGGGAACAGGTTCCAGTGGCTACAGGTGCCTCTGAGGGTCATGCAATCACATAGTTTCCATTCACTCATCACACTGCAGCACTCCTCACGCCCTTCTTTCACAATAATACTGCAAATTTTGTTCCCCCCCTTTGATAATTCCCACACTGTTAGATGTGGAAATGGTCGAAGATGGCGTCATGATACATAACAGCTGAGGTTCAGCAGCTGGAAGGGGAAAACATTCAAAAACACTCCCACAGCGAGATGTTTGATATGCTGATTGTCAACACATTAAAGCTTTTAGTACGATTTGTTAGTAAGATGTTAACTTTGTTGTTTCTGTCCTGCTGAGAGGAAGGCGTGTGCATATCAAGTGTTGTCTCGGGATCTTTGTTGCAAAAAAAATGTGTTTGTCATCCTACTGCTATGTGTCCGCACACACACACACACACACACACACACACACACACATGAGTGAGTGTTTTTCCGTGCTTTTGCAGGGTGTGTTTCTATGTGTGACGCTGAAAGACAATAGAAGCTTATTGTTGTAAGGCGGGGAGTAACTTCAGGACCGAACACCA